TCCCGGTCCCGGTCCCGGTCCCTCCTGGCGCCCCCTGCTCGGCCGCGGGCCCGTGCCCTGCGCCGTGGGAAGGCCGCGCGACCCTGGCCTCTGTCCCGTCTCGTCCCGTCCCGTCCCGTCCCTTCCCTGTAGGAGCGAGCCCTCACCACCAGCAACCCCTCGGTTCTGGGTGTTGGCAGCTCCTGCTGACCCTCCCTTCAGTGCCGCCCTCGGGCCCCCTTGTCCTTTGTTTCCTCTCCTTCCCGGGCTGAGCTCACCTGTGGGGCCGTCCTCCCTCCCTCCCGTTGAGCCCGGTCACTCCTCTCTCCCTCCGGCTCTTCCCAGTCCCGGAGAAGCCGGAAAGGAGCCGGGCTGGGAGGGAGCTGTGGGGCTCACCTGGTCCACCCCTGCCTGAGGCAGGATTAGCCCTATCCAAACCATGCCATGCCTGCCATTATCTACATGAGACTGCCATCAACCCTGACATGCCACAGGCCAAACGCCCTTCATCAGATCATGCCCATTTCTCCTGTTCATCTCTTAGTACACTAAGCCAGTGTCTCTGTTAGGCCCCACCGTCCCTAACTGGCTTCTTCCTTTTCCTTGTTCTCATGCACATGCCTCTGAGAGTTCCCCTTCTCTGCTGAAGACCTGCCTGTTGGATCAGGTTGGTGTAAGGGCCTTCTTATTTGCACACGTAGCCTTGCTGCTCCTTTCCTCTATCATCTACGCAAAGTCCCATCCAGGCTCTACCATTATCCTTAGCTGCATTTCCAATTATTTAATCTTCACCTCCATAAAAACTATCAGTCAACAACTAATGCACATGAAGCTGCAATTGCAGTGTGTGTGAGGATAAGCTACATCTCACTGTGATTCACACATCCTGACATCTTCCTTGTTTTGGCTGGAAACTTCTCCATGGATGCCACAGTTACCATACTCTGCCTTTCTGCTTTTAAGAAAAAGCAAGTTGGGAAAGTAAAAGAACCAAATGGATAACAAAGAAAAGGAAAACACATTAAGAAGAATCTTAAATATGCCCCCTCGATCCCCCACAAAAAGGGTGTGCACATGACCAGAGGCCTGCACCCCTGCCTTTGCATATTTAAACCTTAAGCTCTTTGGGGCAGGCAGAGCGAGAGGCTCTATCTGTTTGTATGGGCACAGCATCCAGCATGCTGCAGTCCTGACTGACTGAAGCTTCTGGCAGTCTCCACCACACAATTGATAGGAAAATATGTCCAAATTGTGGCAGCTATACTAGGGCCACTGCAGGGAACTGCAGGAGAGGGGGCTGCCTGCAGCCAGAAGATAAAGTTAAACAAACCATTCTTCTAGTGGGAAACAGGCAGAAAACAATCATCTAAGAGCTGGGGCCTGGGCATTCCTTTCTTTCCTCTTCACCGTAAGTTCCTGGATTTGGTTATCTACATAACCATCTAAATGCCGCTTACTCAGGTTGGCATTTTATTCCTGGCTGCCTAGCCTTACCCCCATGGATCATTATATATGTGTACAGCTATAGGTATTGGCAGCAAAAATAAGAGCATGTGCGTATCTTTTTCCTGAAGTAGCTAAATGTCTACAATGCTTACCAAGAGAAGTGGGGGTCTTGGGTTCTAGTCCCTTATCTCACCTACAGTTGGTTTGAATCTACATTTCTTTGGTTTCCCAGCATGGCAGTCTAACCATTATGCAACAAAGATCAACCATAAGCTGTTTCTTCTGTAGGCCCTATGAAATCTCCTGATGAAATGGGCTGCATAGGAACTAGGGCCTATTTGATAGCTATTTTCTGATTACAATAACCTGGACCAGCATTTAGATCTTCAGTCCAGATTTGCACAGCTTCCTCCTGAAACTGATCCCCTTGCTAGTTTTTCATGAGGCATTACTGGGCTATAGTCACTCCCCATCTCTGTTTTGTCTCTACTAGTGCAGAAGCTGCTGCAGGAAGATACCTGTGTGAAACTGGTTGATGGTCCCAGCAGGAGGCCTGGATTCCTCCCTGGCTGCTGAGCTACACCTGGGCAAAAATCTTTCATCTTCCTTCCTGAGAGGTGATTCTGAAAGGAAAATGGCTGGAGAGAGCTTTGTCCAGGTACAGGTTTGGTCTGATCTAGCGCACAGCTGTGTGTGCTAAATTTCTGTCATTCAAGGGTATGGTTCTAGCTAAGCTGGCAGAAAAAAACCCTTCTGCCTCCATATGGCATGTCTCCAGTAGAGGAGTCTGCCACCATATTTGAACCAGGAAAGCTACAGTGCTAGGAGCCCCATACCATAGACAAGCCCTCAATCCCTGAAATGGACTTTTTCCTGTAGACTTGTAAGTATTTTGAGAAATAAGCAGGATCACCACCCATATCTAAGACAGTGTTAATTTAGAAACATTGCTGCACTTTACAGTGGAGTTTTACAAACCCATCGGGCTCCAGTCCATGCAGAAAAGAATAAATCTTCCTGGCAGTTATAGAACATGTAGCTACATTTTCCAAACTCCAAAATTTCACCAGAAGTTTCTGGCTTAAGTAAAGTCCTATGCTCAAGAGAAATTTGAAACTACTCTTTCAGGACACCAGAATGGAAGAGTAGCCTTCAGTGATAGGGAACACATGCTGAGGGAACAGTGCAAATAGGCAGAAGACTGCTGTGGAGAAATGATCGCACTGATTGATATGAATCCCAGGAAACAATTGGGAGCTGAACTGAAAATGAATAAGATGTCAAAGTTACAATGGGGGGAATATGGTTTATGTACTAGTCTCTGATGCAGGGGGGTTCCTTAGTCAGGCAGTTGAATACAATAGGCTGGCAATGCAACTGTGCTTCCTTGGCAGGAAATCCCTACTGTGAAAGCTGTGCTGCTCACTGTCCCAAGACTCGTTTGCAGTGACAGGCATGGGCTCTCAGGTGGGATTCGCTCCCAAAATGCACAAGCTGGAGTATATATTATTGGTCTCCCTGCTTCTGCAGGCCCCAGGGTTGCTGCTTCCAGGATGTGAATAAGTAGATGCTGATTAGGGCTTCTTTATCGTTTCAGGTTCCAGTAACTTTTGACGACGTTGCTGTTTATTTCTCTAAGGAGGAGTGGGAGGAGTTAGTCGAATGGCAGAAGGAGCTGTACAAGGATGTGATGAGGGACAATTATGAGGTTTTGTTTTCACTGGGTAAATCACCTATTCATACAATTCTGAAGGGTCTGTATTAGCATCCTCTGGGAATTGCTTTCATCCTTCTGTGGGTCCTAAGTGTATAAGCCTTTATATAATAACAGAAAAAAATTACAATATCCCATGGTGATTCTGGCTTCCTCCCTCTGTGTGGTTTTTGCACAAAATCCCAGATTCCAAACTGGGGAAGTTGGTGGAGCAAAGTATAAAGATGTCAGTTTGTTAAGCATCTGGAGCTGGAAAGGTTCAGCATGAGAAGCCAACATGGATGTGTTAACAAATGATGCCTAACAAATTTGGTCTCACACTTTGGTAAGGTAATGAGTTGGGTGGATGGAGAGAATGCAGTGGGCATAGTGTATTTGAAATTTAGTAAGGATTTTGACAAAGGCCCACATATAGGTGAAGCATAAGTGCTGCCAGTGGTGGCCACAACTCTGCGCCACCACCACAGTTTGGGGGACACAACTCTGCATCACTGCTGCCAGGCATTGGGTCTGGCACCCCATGCCCTGCTGTTGGCACAGAAATCTGAGGGGGTATGTGCCCCCACATGCTCCCCTGATGCATCACCTATGGGCCCACGTGATATTCTCATAAATAAACTGGAGATATGTAGGCTGGACAAAATTACTTTAAGGTCGATACGTATATGTTAAGTAGCACGAGACCCAGGACCTATGAAACTGTACTTGAAATTTCTGCCATTCTGACATTGATCCATTTATAATTACTCTTTACTTGTAGTCATTGAGCCAAATGATTTGGCAGAGTAACTAAATGCACAAATACATAATGGGAGGCAACTGGCTGGGCAGTAGCATTACTAACAAAGATCGGGGGGTTTTGCTGGATCACAGCTTCAGTATGAGTCAGCACTGTGACTCAGTCACAAAAAAAGGCAAATGTTTCACAAGGATGCAGAGAAGAAGTCAGAGAGGGTCCAGAGGCAGCTGAAAAAAATGATAAAGGAAGTAGAAAGCAAGCCATATGAGGAAAGGTTGAGAGTATGAGGCAGGTTTAGCTTGTAGAAAAGGAGATAAAAGAGAACATGATTTCTGTTTTCAAATATTTGTAAGGCTGCCACAAAGAAACTCCCTTGCCACAGCAGACGGGACACAAAGGAATGATCTTAAATTTCAGCAAAGTAGATAAAGATTAAATTTTAGGAAAAAACATCCTTACTGTTAGAACAGTGAGACAATGGACTAGCACTGCCCAGAGAAGCTATGGTATCTCCTTCATTGGAGGTATTCAAGAGGAGGCTGGATAAGGATTGGACAGGGATGTTACAGGAAGAGTATTTCTGCATTTGTGGTTGGGTGTTGAACCAATGACTCCTGAGGTCCCTTCCAACCTAATGATTCTATGATTTTTTTAGACAGGTAAAACATAGATTCATAGATGCTAGGGTCGGAAGGGACCTCAATAGATCATCGAGTCCGACCCCCTGCATAGGCAGGAAAGAGGGCTGGGTCTAGATGACCCCAGCTACATGCCTATCTAACCTCCTCTTGAAGACCCCCAGGGTAGAGGAGAGCACCACCTCCCTTGGGAGCCCGGCCCTGACCTTGGCCACTCGAACTGTGAAGAAGTTCTTCCTAATGTCCAATCTAAATCTGCTCTCTGCTAGCTTGTGGCCATTATTGAATACATTGAATACATACATTGAATCACTGATGATGATGTTTGTTTGTTGGTTTATTAGATCTACATCCTGCCCTATCCACAAGGCGCAGGGTGGCTTACAGTAAACAAAAAACCCACAGACAGGTTTCCTCAAACACCCCTACCAAAACCCAAGAGCTCCAACTTCCTGTGTTCACACTTATTAATTTATCCAGCTATACAGTGCTTGTTACAAAAAGGTCAGCCTTTATCCCAAGACACCCCATTTTTGTGCTCTACTTAGAGGGAACAATAGTGTATGTAATTCAGCTGTGTGGTAACTGTGTGTGAAAACTGACCATAAGAACAGGCACTGTGACTAAGCTAGCCGCTCTAGAAGAGTGGTGTTTATTTAAAATATACTTCATTGAAGCCAAGAAAGGAAAGTTGGAGATCCTAATAGTGTCACAGCCTTTCTCTAATATTTCTCAGTTTAATTGCCAGGAGCTCAGCTGGGGAACTGACATTTTGCAAAAGACATAATACTATAATATTCTTGAGTTTATTTAACAAATTGCCTTTTTTGAGCAACTGGTAATGATAATTACCTGAAACATTCTACTAACAGTGTCATACAGAACTGAAAACAGTTGCATAATGGACAAGGAAGTCAGATTTTTTTTCTTCACCATAATGCTTTTGGCCAGTTGCACCACACAAACAATGATATGTTTCATAAAGCACAGTCAGGCTATCACTCACAGGGATAGCATTTATCCCTGACTGGAACAAATATATTGAACATCCAGTACCACAAATGGTGTCTCCTGGATCTTAGACACTCAGTGTAAAACTATTGTTTTCCTTGAGCAGGCTGTTCTGCTGTCAAACCTGACATCATATCACAGATTGAACAAGGAGAAGATCCATGTGTTAGTGGACACCAGGAAGGATGTACTTCATGTGAGTAGTGATCATTTGTGGGCAGGGAGATGCCTACAGGCAGGGATCTTCATTTCTTTACTCTGGAGGAGTAGGAAACATTTTTGCCCCACAGTACACATGTCTACACATTCTGTTAGGGGGCAGCAACAAACTGCGGAACTTATTGCTCTGCAGTTTATTGCTCCCAGGAAGCTCCCAGGTGTGCATTTTGCACATATGCCCTCACCACAGCATATTGAGCTGGTCCACAGCAACCCCAGCTGGCAGAGTGTCCAGGGGGTTCAGCCTGCCAGCCTGGGGCTGCTCCAACCAAGCTCAGCATGCTGCAGAGGGGCTGGCTGGGACACAAGGGTGCTTCACCTTGTGCCTCAGCCAGCCAGTTCAGTGTCTACACATGCACTGCTGCGCACAAAAAAACTTCACAGCAGGGTAGTACTTGAAATTTATGTGTACTACCCTGCTGCAGAGTTTATTAGTTTTGTGCGCCCTAATAGGGGCACACATGTAGCTGCTGAGACATTTACTGTGCAGTTAATTAGTCACAGTAAAAATCTTGTGAGAACTTCCTAGAGGACGGGTTTGATTTAAAGGGGTTTTCTTGTGTTTTTCCCTGTGTGAAATACTTTTTTCTGGACTCATTTAATCTACCAAATCTCCAGTCTTCTCAAACCATGTCCTTCTACAGACCACTGGTTGTGCACAGTTTGAAAGTCAGTGCCCTAGAATAGTAGTTCTCAACTAGGGGGGACTGTGGCCAAGCAGGTTTCAAGGGGTCTGCCCAGCCTGGCTTGGTACATGGAAAAGCTGCCTCAGCCTCCCAGGGCTGAGGAGAGTCCTGAGGAAGGGGCAGGGGTGGGCCCACTCTGCCTGGCCCCACAGCCTCCATCTTGCAGACGGTGCTGTGTGCTGGTTGGGGAGGCTGTATACGGCTGCTGCTCAGGTAAGGGCAGCCCTGGGGCTCCCCCCTTGCCAAACTCTGCCCACTGCACCGGGGGCTGTGCAGGTGGGGCCAGGGAGCTGGACAGTTGTGGCACAGGTGGGCCATGGAGTTTTTATAGAATGCTAGAGGGGACCACAGAAAGAAAAAGGTTGAGAACCCCTACCCTAGAAGTTTAAGATGGCTCCTGAAGTATTTTTTTTTACATACTTGCCCTTCCTCCCAAGTGACCACAGACTACAAGTCCTGTTTTCTGAACAAGATCAAGAACTGTTCTGTGGGAGTTCCCCTAAGAACAGATTTCAGAATTCTTGTTCCCTTCTCATCACACACAGATGTGCATACTGCTGGGTAAGGCCTTGGCCTTGATTTACTTCAGGCCCTAGTTTTTCACTGAAAGTTGCAGATTGTCTTTCAGGTTTTTCTCAAGTTTCTGGGGGAGACACCAGATGCTTTTCAAAGTGTTTGGTTCCCACTTAGGCACCAGATTAAGGGACCAGATTTTTAGTAGTATCCAGGATAATAGACACAGAGGACTTTGGCGTTTGGGTGCTGGAATAGGAGCTGAGCTCCTGATGAGACTCTGATCTTACCAGCTAGCTTTTCAGAGCTTTACAGAGACTTGAAATTACATCTGAATGCACTCCAAAAGTCCTTTCTAAGTTTAATACTCTGCTTTTTGTCTACACAGATTCAGCCCCTGCTGCCGTAGCTCCGAATACTCTCACCTTGTCCTCACCACCTGGAGGCTCTCCTACACCTACATCATCTATTCCCTCCTCCCATGAAATGGACTCTTCTCTATCCGCTGTACATTCCATTAGCCCACAGATTCAGGAGACACACTCTGTGCATGGCATAGTCTTCACTAGAAGCCTGGGGAGATTGGGAAGCAAGTGTCCTTGTGCACTTTCAGGTCTGTCCCTTAGTAGAGCTGCCCAGGACCAAGTGGAAAGTGAAAAGATAGCATCAGGGATGACTTCATCTCATCTGTACACAGATTCAGAGAAGATCCATTCATCTGGACAAGTCCAGAGGCCTGAATCTTGTTCCCACACAAGTCAAGGATCTGAGAATAATACTTCTGTGTCCAGAGCTAAGCAGTTGCATCTGCCTGCCCACAACTTGGACATATGTAGCATTCTCCAAGAGATGCAGACAGCAAGAATACACCTAGCTAGTATAGCTGGTTCTCTGCTGGTTTTGTCATCTGCATTCCTCCCAGCCCCCCAGCCCCCAAGCACAGGCCCTTAGGAATTTATAACAGTGTGGTCTTCCCCTTTTAAGAAGAGGCAGCCAAGCCTGTTAAGGATATTCATCTGTGGGGCATTCTGATAATGAGGGAGTGTCCCACTGGGTCTTAAAATGCAGATGAGAGAGCAGAAGTGGGGGAAAAAAAGCAATGAGGGAGCAGCTTGCAAGGAAGAGGAGCCAGGTTTCTGGTTCAGGACAAAGCCAAGTGGAAAGTGCTTACTCGTCTCATGTCCAGAGAGGATGGAGGATTTGTTCTGCTGTGTTGTTAAAGACTCAGGGTTTTGGTGGTAACTGAACTGCCTGAAGGGCTAACAGCAGAGTTAACTGGCCTGCACAAGGTAGTAGAGCAAAGGACCTGCTTACAGCATTCAGCTCACGATAGATGTTTTAGACATTCTCACACTTGCAGCTGGAAGCCAGATGGAGTACGTTAGTGTGAAATACAAACCATTTCACCATAGACCATGTCCTGACACAGACACCTCACAAATATTTACTGGTGCATGTTACTGTGATTTGTCAGCACTCCTACCTTTCTCACTTACCCTTCACTTCCAGTAGTAAAGCAGACTTCAGTGATAACCATTACATTTATCATAGTATACAAACTTTAGTGCACTTGTCCATCTGATTTTATTGAAATATAGGAATAGTATACTGAGAGATTCTCTGGTAATTAACACATCTACAAGAGTGACTGTGGACATCCAGCATTCACATAATATTTAAAAAACTCATTCATTGCCCTGGGGGATCCTAGTTTAACTGGAGTTTTGTGGTTAGCTGGAAAATGACTTTCAGGATAAGTTCAAGTTTTAGTATCTCAGGACTTTTCAAGACTAGGGAAATTAGCACTAGTAACTGCATTGACACTGCAACCCTCTAACATAGACACTGCACCACTGTAAAATTGGGGATACATTGGCCTTCTGGTAAGTTACCAAGATGATGACAATATCTGAGTCCTGTATGATACATTCCATCAATAGATCTCCACATGGTATACAAGTGGAGTGAGTACTGTTAGCACCATTTTACTGATGAGGAATCTGAGGCACACAGAGGATGAGCTAGCTGCAAAAGTGTCACCTGGCAGCTTGGTTCCCCCACCCGAAGGAGCTGAAAAATTGTGAGCTAAGCACAGGCTGTGGCAAACCGTAGCTGAGATATGAGATGGGATCCTCTCCTGTGTGGACTCCCTGATGTCTGCTGATGTTGGAAAACTGGCCTTTCGTGCACTGAGCAATCTGGTCAAGGGTTTTGCCTGTGAGGACCAGCTGCGACAGGAGGGGTTGGAGTGCCACTGAAAGCTTCCCCTGTACCTGATGCAGTTGCAAGGCTTCTCATGGTTTCCCAGGCTGCTTCTCTGGAAAAAGCCTACAGACAGCATAATCAGGGAGGAAGGTGGGGAAGTAAAGCAGGTGAGGGCTAGGCCCTCATGTGGATAAGCTGGCAGGTCTGTTACTCATGTGGGTCATCCAATGTGTCCTCAGTGGGCAGCTCTGAGCAAAGATCTTCCTGCTCTCCTGAGTTTTGAAGTTTTTCCTGTCTGGGCTCTCTGATGGGCTGTGAGGATACAGGCTAAATCAAAGGGAGTGCACTACCAACCTAAGTTAAAAAAAAAACAACTTGCTATATTTAGGCTCAACCTCAGCTGTACCAGCTAGCCTGGGTTTAAAGTACCACAAAACCTGTGTGAAAGGTTTGTGTGTGTGGATGAGAGAGATGCTAAAAGCAACATCCAGGTGAGACCATGGGATACCTTTGCAGTAAAGATACTGTACATCCTTATGGACTCAAAGCGCTGAGTTCAGCATATTTAACAACATAATTTTCCAAACTCAACACCCCTGCTTACATGTGACCTGAAAAATATTTAGCAAAACAATCCTCTCTAGTTCCTTCTCATGGTAGGGTAAGGTGATTATTTCTACATCCTGGCCAGGTCTCCAGTTTCAGTGTCTTACCCATTTTTAGGTGGGGGCTTAACATTGCTGAAAGCTGTAATTTCCAGCTGCAAAATGTAACCCTCTCTCCCGTCCCTCCCCACACCTGACATTTGATTAGGGTATGTGGAAGCTAGTAATGCTGGTAAGAGAACCAAGGACAGGAAAACATTTTTGGGTGTGATGAGGCTAGACATGGCTGGATTTATGACCATAATTTTTTCAGAACAACTGCATAAAAAGTGAAAGTGCCTCATCCCCAGTGTTGCAGGCAATATGAATGTGCAAAAGAACATAAAAGCTCTCCCTTTATCATCTTATTTCCATGCTATTGAAATTTGGGGGTAGACTGAGTGCACACTGCAACCGCACACTGCCAGTGAACATATCTGTTGTGTGCTAGGATGCTAGGAAAGCAGTGGCAGGGATGCTCAAGGCTAGGGCTGGTGTGTGAGACACGGTATCAGATGTGAGTGCTCTGTGTGTGTTTGGTGGCCCCCCTCAGGTGTGTGTTCTGGGGTCTCTGAGTGTATGAGGCAGGGGGACCCGAGGGGTGTGTAGGGGGGAGAGCAGGGGACCATGATGGAGGTGTGGGGTGAGGCAGGGGCCCGTGAAGGTCT